AGGCCTCTTAACAGGCACCAATACAGGAAAATGGAGACGGGATAGGAAGTTTTATGCTTTGATGAAGATACTTTCATGGGTATACATTTATCTCCAACTTATCAAGATGCAAACTTTAAACCTACACAGCTATTTAAGCTATCAGTCATATCTCGGTGAGGTGACCATAACAAGGGAAGGGAGGGCCACAGCAGGTTGGGGCACAGCACATTAAGCCATCACTTGAAATAGTGCCAAATGCTCCGCTTCCAAACCAGCAGCCCTGCTAATGCACCTGGGAAGCAGTGGACAATGCATCAAATATTTTATGCATCTGCCACCCATGTGGGAGACCCAGATGGAGCTCCTGACTCCTGGCTTTGATCTGGTCTGGCCTCAGCTATTATGGCCATTTGTTGAGTGAACCAAAAAAACAGCTCGATCAACCTCTCCCTCTAAGTGAATTGGCACACACACACAGATCTCTCTCGCTGTCACACTGCCTTTCAAATAACTAAATATCTAAAAATAATACTATAAAGAAGTGGGTAGTTTACTTTTATTAAGTTTTATTAAAAAGCCCTATTTTTTCTAAAACAAAATCTCAAAGCATTTTGACCAAAAGAATAATTTTTTGGGGGGAAGAAACAAGTTAAAATTCAAACACAATCAAGGTTTAAGTTGTGGCACAGTGTGCTGAGCAGCTGTTTGAAATGTCCATATCATTTATCAGAGTGCCAGTTCAAGTCTTGACTGTTTATTTCCTAACTCCCTTCCTGCTAACACATCCTGGGAGGAAGAGGATGATGCCCCACTTAGGAGACCCAGATCTCCTGTCTCCAATTGGTCCAGCCTTGGCTGCTATTAGCATTTGGACAGTGATCCAGTAGGTGGAAGGTGCACTCTCTCTCTATTTGACTTTTGAGATAGGGATTTAAAAAAAAAAAAAAAAAAAAAAGGAAAAGGGGTTACAGAGAAAAGAAGTGGTATGATGGCTCAGTGGCTAAATCCTTGCTTTCTAAGTCCCAGAATACCATATGGTTGCTGGTTCCTGTCCCAGCGGCCCCACTTCCCATCAAGCTCCCTGCCTGTGGTCTGGGAAAGCATTGGAGGATGACCCAAGGCTTGGGACCCTGTACCCACATGGAAGACCAGGAAGAAGCTCCTGGCTCCTGGTTTTAGATCAGCTCAGATCTCGCTGTTGCAGCCACTTGGGGAGTGAATCAAAGGACACAAGATTTTTGTTTCCTGGGCCCAGCACGATAGCATAGCAGCTAAAGTCCTCGCCTTGAATGCAAGGATCCCAGATGGGCTCCAGTTCTAATCCCGGCAGCTCCGCTTGCCATCCTGTTCCCTGCTTGTGGCCTGGGAAAGCAGTCTAGGACAGCCCAAAGCCTTGGGAGATCTGGAGGAAGTTCCTGGCTCCTGACTCAGGATCAACATAGCACCGGCTGTTGTGGTCACTTGGAATCATCGGACAGAAGATCTTCCTCTTGTCTTTCCTCCTCTCTGTTTATAGGACTTTGCAATAAGAATAAATAAATATTTTAAAAAATAAAAGTGCAAGGCTCCTAAGTTTTGTATCTAACCAGAGCCAAAGGTTTCCATTTCATACAATATATGCACTATAGCCTCAAAAATCTTTGAAAAGAAACTCTTTGAATTCTTTACTGTCATTCAGGAATATAAGACTATGAATAACAGTGGGAAAAGTTCAAATACAGTTGAAAAGAATGAACTTGAAAGTAAATGCTGGTCAATAAGCAAAGCACAACACATAATCAGCTCCAAATATTCAGAAACAGAGGCATCTTAATATTTCAGTCACAAAGAATAGAAAAAAAGTTTTCAGTCACAGCAGTTATTACTTCATTGTTGACATGCTACATACCCTAAAAATTACAGCCACACCCATTAATCCCACAATGGACTAGTCAGACAATACTTAGCTTGGGGGGAACCAATTATCCACATGCTCGTTAAACTATGCCATCAGATTCCTTTGATCAAAGAAACCAAAACTCCATCTGCATGAGGCTAACCATTTAAACTTGCAAGTAACAAGATAACCAACACAGCCATTTGGAGATTGGTATATTCTGTACTAATAGGCCAAGAAAGCAAACTAGGGAATGATCAAATAAACATGGGAGCACAGGAAAGTGGTGAGGAAATGCAAAGAAGATTCCTGACAAATGGAACAAAAAACAGCCATAGGTTCCCGGCTCTCTAATTTCAACGCTGTAAGATGCCAGTGAACTTAGGTTTACTGTGCTCAGGTGCCTACAAGATTGCCCATTAAATATTTTCCACCTGAGACAGGCATATGCCCTACCAGCTATAACATATATCCATCTAGGAAACAGCACCAGGGCATACAAAAGTAAGCCTCTGCCTACAGAGAATCCACACAACAGACCTGGAAGAAGCTCCAGGCTCCTGGCTCAGTTCTAGATGTTGCAGCCATCTAGGGAGTGAAGAGCAGACAGAAAATCTTGTTCTATCTATCCTCTGTATGTAACTGCCTTTCAAATAAATATTTTAAAAAATATTTCCAGGCCCAGCGCAGTGGCCTAGCAGCTAAAGTCCTTGCTTTGAACATGCTGGGATTCCACATGGGCTCCAGTTCTAATCCCAGCAGCTCCACTTCCCATCCAGCTGACTGCTTGTGGCCTGGGAAAACAGTCAAGGATGGGCCAACACCTTGGAACCCTGCCCCCACATGGGAGACCTGGAGGAGGTTCCTGGCTCCTGGCTTCAGATCAGCGCAGCACCGGCTGTTGCAGTCACTTGGGAATTGAATCATCGGACAGAAGATCTTCATCCCTGTATCTCCTCCTCTCTGTATATATGACTTTGCAATAAAAAATAAATCTTGGGCCCGGCAGCGTGGCCTAGCAGCTAAAGTCCTCACCTTGAACGTGCCGGGATCCTATATGGGCACCAGTTCTAATCCCAGCAGCCCCACTTCCCATCCAGCTCCCTACTTGTGGCCTGGGAAAGCAGTCGAGGACGGCCCAAAGCCATGGGACCCTGCACCCGTGTGGGAGACCAGGAAGAAGTTCCTGGATCCTGGCTTCAGATCAGCACAGCACCGGCCATTGTGCTTACTTGGGGAGTGAGTCATTGGACAGAAGATCTTCTTCTCTGTCTCTCCTCCTCTCTGTATATTTGACTTTGTAATAAAAACAAATGAATCTTTTAAAAAAAATATTTCCATCCCACATCAGAGAACATGGTTTCAACATGCAATTCTAGCTCCTGACTAGCTTCCTGATAATGCAGACCAGGAAGTGATAATGGCTCAAGAAATCAGGTTCCTGACACCGCTGTGGGGACCTGGACTGCATGCCCAGCTCCTGGCTCAGCACAGCCTCTTCCTTGCCATTGTGGACATTTGGAGAGTGAGCCAGCAAATGGTAGTTCTCTCAATACATATACATTTAATTCCCCACATATTCACTTAGGTTTATTCCTCAAACTACTTGATATTTAAAAAGCAGAATTCTCCCCCTCTAAAAATCAAAGTAAAGCCACTGAAATTCAACCAGGAACTCTACAGTTAGAACCCTACTAAACCAGAAGCAACATGAAGATCAGAAAATTTTCTCCCAAATTTTCCTCAGCTAGAAATTTTTATTTAAATACATTTTGTTAGGAATGTAAAGAGATGGAGGAAGTTCTTTAAAAGAAAAAAAAAGACCTCCGGAACTGGAATCTTCTCTTTAGCCTGTTCAGCTGAACACCCATCCTAGGGCACAAACTTTTTTCAAATCAAGGACTAAGATAACACTGTGAGTTTAACTTATCATTTTTGCTGGTTTCTCTGCAGACGCCTTTCCTGTGTTCTTGGCTCTGTGCTTTCTCTTCCCTTAAAAAAATGATCCAGAGACAACTTCAGATCTGCCTCTCTCACTGAGAAATCCTCCGGGATCCCTTAATAATCCTTACTCTGGAGCTAGCTCACCTGGAAGGCCTACCGCCTGAGCTGCCAGGGAGTGCCGACTCCAGAGCTGGAATGATTTAATTCTAAAAGGTTTAAATAAAATATTGGCAGGTTATGTATGTCAGTATACGAACAATGGTATCAAAAACAAAAATACACAGACGTTGATACCACAGTGCCTGAAGTTGTACCACCCCAACTGGATCAAGTGACACTGTCAAGGAACAATTATAGCCAAGAAGAGCTCAGAACACATGAACTCCTGGAAAGTTCATTTATTTATTTGAGAAGCAGAGCTACAGAAAGAAAAGATCGAAATCAAGATCTATCCACTGGTTAACTCCCAAAATGGCAGCAACAGCCAGGGCTGGGTCAGACCGAAGCCAGAGCCTGGTCCCACCTGAGTTCAGCGTCCCAAGTATGTTGGCATCTTCTGTTTCCTTCCCTAATCCCTGAACTGCTACACCAACTTGAGAAGCCAGATGAAGCTCCTGGCTCCTGCCTTCAGCCTGCTCAGCCCCAGCCGTCACAACTATTTGGGGGAATTAATCAGTACATGGAAGATTTCTCTCTCTCCCTCTATTTCTCTACAATTCTGCCTTTCAAATAAATAAAATAAATCTAAAGAAAGAAAGAAAACAATTACTTCCTTTTTAGAGTGAGGACTAAACCAGAACATCTTAAAGCATTTTCTACAGGGTGATAATTTTAAGAGTTATAATATTACAAAGAATTATCTCAAAGGTTATAATTTTTTCACACCACCAGGGACACCAAGGAACACGTCAGGAAATAACAGACTTTCTTCAAAACCCTGCTGAAGATGGACAAACCTGGGCAGGCTCTTTAGCCTACCCTTAGTAATTTCAGCTACAATATCCAGGAAGATTCTACCACTTAGCCTAAAATACTTGAAAATTAAAGATCTCTGAATATATATGCTACATTGCTACACAATTTCATTTTTCTGAAACCATTCATTTAAAAAGACAAAAAGGAGCACTTAAAACTGTACTAAGTGGTTTAAAACTGATAAAATCATAACTTAACTCATGATACTGAGCAGTTCACTTACCATGACTATCTGCACCCAACTTCTTAGAAGCCATTTATAACCTGGAAAAAAAAAAGGAAATTTACTTAGGTGCATGATGTCATAGGTATAAATGAGTAATTCAAGAAAATTCAGACTACAAAAAAAAAAAAAAAAACAACCAAAAAGTCAAAAGTTTAATGACTGACATAGCCTCACCTTTTTCGTTTAAGATTTAATTTTTTTTTTTTTTTTAATTTAAAAGACAGATCTACACAGAAAAGAAGTGACAGAAATAGAGCTCATCCATCCATGGGCTAACTCCATGCCACAACAGCCAGAGCTGAGCTGATCCAGAGCCAGGGACCTCCTCCAGGACTCCCAAGTAGGAGCAGCATTCAAGGCTTTGGACCATCCCCTGGGCTGCTTTCCTAGGCTACAAGCAGGAAGTTTGATGATAAGTGAAGCAGCTGGGACAGGAACCCGTGTTCACCTGGGAAGCACTGGCAGATTAGCCCATTATACCACTGCATCAGTACCTCACTTCTGTAATTTTTTTTTAAGGTTTACTTATTTTCATCTACTTGAAAAGAACGACAGGGGTCTGACACAGCAGCCTAGTGGTTGAGGTCCTTGCCTTGCAAGCACCAGGTCCCATGTGGGCACCGGTTTGTATCCTGGCTGCTTCACTACTGATCCAGCTCCCTGCTGTGGCCTGGGAGAGCAATTGAGAACAGTCCACAGCCTTGGGACCCTGCACCCGCATGGAAGACTTAGACAAGTTCCTCAAGTTCCTATACCTCCTGGCTTCAGATAGGCTGAGCTCCAGCTGTTGTGACCACTTTCATCTCCTCCTCTCTGAATATATGTCTTCCATTAAAAATAACTAAATCGTAAAAAAAAAAAAAAAGAAGAAGAAAGGAGAGTGACACAAAGAGAGATAAAAAAGACAGACCTTCTACCCATTGGTTCACTCAGCAAATGGCAACAACAACCAGGATTGGGCCCAGCCAAAGCCAGGAGCCAGCACCTCCATCGTGGTCTAGGGGGTAAAGTAACCCAAACTATTTGCATCATTTTCTGCCTTCCCAGGTGGAATCGGCAAAAAGCTAAATCCAAAAGCCAGTTTCTGGGTCTTGAACCAGCAATTGCTGCCATCAAAAGAAGCAGTTCAACCACCTACACCACAGTGTTGGTCCCACCCTCCAAAAGACATTTGGGCAGAGACATTATTTTATTAAACAAAACATGTCTTTCTTAAGTCTCCATGCTTACAAAGTGTACTAGTGAATAAACAATTTATATGCTACCAAAATAATTTGAGTGTGTGTATTCCTGACATAAACCAAAAGTATGTCAACAGCAGATCCGGAGACTTGACTTTACTCATGGAAGTAAATATTGCTTAGATAATGATGACTGTTAACATTTAAATTTCTGGGCCCAGTGTGGTGGCCTAGAGGCTAAAGTCCTTGCCTTGAACATGCCAGGATCCCATATGGGTTTTGGGTCTAGCTCCAGTGGACCCACTTTCTATCCAGCTCCCTGCCTGTGGCCTGGGAAAGCAGTCAAGGACGGCCTAAGCCTTGGGTTCCTGCACCTGCATGGGAAACCTGAAAGAAGCTCCTGGCTCCTTGCTCTTGGCTTCGGATCAGCGTAGCATCAGCCGAAGCAGTTACTTGGGGAGTAAATCATCGGACAGAAGATCTTCCTCTCTGTCTCTCCTCCTCTCTGTATATCTGATAAAAATAATAAAAATAAATAAAATTTATTTTTCTAATAAAAATAAATAATTCTTTAAAAAAATTTAAATTTCTGGGGCAATAAGTTAGGCCACCATCTGCCAAGTCAGCACCCCAACAGGTGACAGTGCTGGCTATTCCACTTCTGATGCAGGTCCCTGTTTACGCACCTGGGAAAGTTGGGAAAGTAGGGAAAGATGGCCTAAGTACTTGGGCCTCTGTGTCGACACAGGAAACTGGATGGAGTTTTAGGCTCCTGACGTCAGCCAGGCCCAGCATAAGATGCTGCAGCTATCTGGGGAGTGAACCAGTGGATGAAGCTTTCCCAGCCCAAAGCCTTGGGACCCTGCACCCGCGTGGGAGACCTGGAACAAGTTCCTGGATCCTGGCTTTGGATTGGCACAGCATCAGCCGTTGCAATCACTTGGGAAGTGAACCACTGGACGGAAGATCTTCCTCTCTGTCTCTCCTCTCTGTATATCTGCCTTTCCAATAAAAATAAATAAATCTTTAAAAAAAAAAAAAACAAGTAAACCAGTGAGTAAAAAAAATTAACCATTAACCATGTTTAGCTTTTTGATCTAATGACTTATGACAAATATAATTATGTAACATGGCACAAATATAAAACTGTCCATGTTCCCTTCAAAAAGGAGATACAAAGACTTTCCAACTGCCTACAATGGCCAGAACTAACCCAGTACGAAATCAGAAGTCAGGTGCTTCCTCCAAGTCTCTAACATGGGTGCAGGGGCCTAAGCAGCTGGGTCATCCGCCACTGCTTTCCCGGGCTGTTTACGGGACTAAATCAGAAGTAGAGCAGCAGGGATTCAAACTGGAGTCTATAGGGGATGCTGGCAAGGTAGGATGGAGGCTTAGTCTACTATGCCATGGCGCCAACACCAATGAGTCTGCTATACTATGGCACTGGCACTCCCATGTTTTGTTTTGTTTTGTTTTGTCTTGTTTTGATTTGGTTGTTTTGGAGAGATACAGAGAGAAACAGAGACAGAGAGGAACATCTTCCACCTGATGATTCACTCCCAAGCAGCCACAAGGCCAGAGCTAAGCCAGTCTGAAGCCAGGAGCCAGAAGCCTCTTCCAGGTCTCCCACACGGATGCAAGATCCTAAGGCTTTGGGCCGTCCTTGACTGCTTTCCCAGGCCACAGGCAGGGAGCTGGATGGGGAGTGGAGCCTCCAGGACACGAACTGGCACCCATATGGGATCCTGGTGCTTGCAAGGCAAGGATTTTAGCTGCGCGACTATGACGTCAGGCCCCCTTGTTCCTTTTAATAGTCAGTTTCTGATACCTAGTTAGTTTTGCGTCCCTATGCTTTCTGCCTACTCCAGAGCATCATATACAAAATTACATAGCATAGATTTATTTTTTCTTTTGCTTTTATTTCTTTGTTGTTTTTTGCAGTTGTTGTTTTGGGCTTTTTTGTTTACTTTTTCTTCATTTTGCTTTTCCACTTTTTAAATTTTTAATAGTATACGATCTTCTAGAGTCAGGCTTATTTATTTATCATGGCACACTTCAGACCCATTTTTACAATGGTACTGAACCAGTATTTTCTCCTTTTGCATTACTAAGGAATACTTCATTGTGTCAGTATGAAAGCATCTCACTCAGGCACACGTCATTATCACATCAGCACTTAGCACGGCCATTTGCCCCTTTCGGCCATTCCGATGGGTGTGGTGTGTTCTTGGGATTGACTTTGTACTTCCCTAGTGACTAACATCTTCCCATGTGCTCACTTGCATGTGAAGATCTTTTCTGATGAAGGATCTATTCACCTTTGATTCATTTATTTTATTAAGCTTTTATTAATGAATCTAATGAGTTCTTTATATATCCTGGATGTAACTCCCGGATCAGAAATGCACTTTGCAAGTATTTTCTCCCAAACAACGAACTGATATTCTTTTTCATTTTTTTTCTTCCTTTTTCTTATTCACGAGGTATACAGTTAGAGCAAGAACACGGGGACTATATGTTTTCCATCTGCTGGTCACTCCCTGAACGGCCACAAGCACTGGGCTGGGCCAGGCCTGAAGCGAGGAGCTAGGAGCTAGCTCTCAGAGAGTGGCGGGAACCCAATTACCTGAGCCACGCTCACTGCCACCCACTAACAGGAAAGCTGAAGTCAGGAGCCAGAGCCAAGCATGGCACCCAGGCACACTAATGTGGGACACAAGCATCTGAACTACAAAGTCAAAGGCCTGCCCCTACTGATGATATTTTAACCTATGAAGTGAAACACAATTTGATTTTGCAAAGTTCAAAATTCAAAATCAAGAAATTATATGGCTATCTGAAATTGCACTAATATGTTTCCTGCCTGATGACATGAAATTTTCACTATGATGTACATTTTTTTAATTTTTTTATTTTTACATTTATTCTTATTGAAAAGGCAGAAATATAGACAGAAAGAGACAGAGAAAGAACTTCTGTGCACTGGTTCACTTTCCAAATGGCACCCATAAGACAGAGCTGAGCCGATCCAGAGCCAGGAGCTTCCTCTGGCTTTCCCATGCAGGTACAGGGTCCCAGGGTTTATGCCATCCTCCACTGCATCCCCTGACCACAAGCAACCAGGGAGCTGGATGGAAATTGAGTAATCAGGATACAAGTCAGTGCCCATATGAGAGCCCAGCACTTGAAGAGGAAGGATTAGCCAATGGAGCCACTGCGCCAGGCCCATGATAGATATTTGCAACACTGAATTTCTTCCCTATACAAAAGGGGGGGAAAAAATCACTAAGTCAGGGTAAACTGGTTTATATACCTCTTAGGTTCCTTTAAAGAAAAGCATATATTGGACCCATCGCGGTAGCCTAGCAACTAAATTCCTCGCCTTATAAGCACCAGGATCCCATATGGGTGTCGGTACATGTCCTGAAGGTCCCACTGCCATCCAACTCCCTGCTTGTTGCCTGGGAAAGCAGAAGGGGACAGCCCAAAGCCTTTGGACCCTGCACCTGCATGGGAGACCCAGAAGAAGCTCCTGGCTCCTGGTTTCGGACTGGCTTAGCTCCAGCCACTGTGGCCACTTGGGAGTGAATCCTCAGGTAGATGTTCTTGTCTCCTCCTCTCTGTCTCTCCACCTCTCTGTTATCTGGCCTTCCAATCAAAAAAATAAAATATATCTTTAGAAAAAGAAAAGCATATAAGCTGAAAAATGCAAATTCTGGAGTCAGCATAATGGCACAGCAGGTTAAATTATCACTTGCATTGCCAGCATTGACTGGTATTTCGGAGTTCTTTATTTCGGCCTCTCAAATAAAAATTTTTTTAATAAATAAACAACTGTTTTAATAAACTGATGCTTA